GACGTAGAAGTGCACGTCTGGCTATGCAAGCATCGCAAAGAGCGGATCAACGCCCAACCGATGCTGGGAACTCAAGTTCGCAACCAATTCACATACGGTTTGGTGGCTCTGACGCGTTGGTTGCTTCCATAAATGCTCAAGAATGGAACTAAGCCTCACTCAATTACAACCCAAGTCTTGGTTATGCGGGAGATGCAAATGTTTCCATTGGGAAGATGGTGGAAGTTTGCGGACATTGTCAGGCGAAAAAAATGGATTGGTGAGACAATCGGCATGTGCTGTTCCAACGGCAAAGTTCTACTGAATAACTTCCCCCAACCACCAGAAATACTCCAAACACTGCTTGCTGGTAATACCGACGACTCGAAAAATTTTCTTTCAAACATTAGAAAATACAACGGGGCGTTTCAAAAGACCTCTTTCGGTGCCAACATTGTTCATGAGGTTGGAGGGGAGCTATGTACAAAGAGGGAGTTCAAAGTTATTTACCTATATTACCCTAATAAAACTGAACTGGATTGAACATAATCATTTTACGGTTTTGCCTACTTAAGGGCTTCCGCGCTAGTAACTACTGAATTTATCCCTGGGACGCACGAAATTTCGCGTGTAGTGACATTTTTTTCGATTGATTAGCGTTGGATGTTTACTGGCAAGAGCCTTTTTCAACCCTTCTGATTGTCGACTGTAGCGGCCTGCAATAGCAGTTTCGTTCACTTCCAGTAGCTCACGGTGAGATATTTTTGTCCCACTTAACCTAAAATACAGCAAGATTTTCCGGGGAATGGGTGTGATTTCATTTAAGGTACTGGTGCCTAACCTGTAGAAAAATGTTGGTATATATGATTGCTGCTAATGTACAGAATGATCCTCCAGTGTGCGCTTAACAAAACTGTACAAATTTGGGAACTTTAGACTTTGCGTTTTGCTTAATTGTGGCGTGTAACTAACCGTCCCTATCTGCTGAAGACACTCTTCAACAGTAGAGCATAACGAATTTAGATGACGTGGGATGATTCTGGTCTTCTTGTTGTCGCGGGCTGCATTGCCTGCGAGCTCGAGGACCTCAGCGGCCAGATATTCGAGAACGGCGGCCACGTAGACCGGGGCTCCGGCACCGACACGCTCGGCGTAGTTGCCTTTGCGCAGAAGTCTGTGCACACGGCCAACCGGGAACTGGAGACCAGCGCGGGAAGACCTAGTCTTAGACTTAACTCGAGATTTGCCACCTTTACCGCGACCAGA